TAAATCTGATCTACCATGGTTGATCGGGGGAGATTTCAATGATCTTTTACACTCAGATGAGAAGATAGGTGGTAACCCCCAGCCGGAGTGGATGCTACAGGGATTTCGGGAGGTGGTCGATGTATGTAATTTAGCTGAAATACAAATGGTTGGTGGCCACTTCACTTGGCGTCGTGGACGTGTGGAAGAGAAGTTAGACAGATCCTTGGCCACGCCCACCTAACGAGCTTTATTTCCCCGTGCAAAAGTCAGACTATTGCCCTCTCTATCTTCTGATCACTCCCCTCTATGGATTACTCTTGACAATCACTATAAGAGAAGGAATCGAGGCAGAAAGAGATTCCGGTTTGAAGATATGTGGCTTCGAGATCCTGGGTGTACTGAAATAGTAAAATTTAGTTGGAGCTCTATTGTACGTGAAGGGAACTGGAACTGTCTACTGCAAAAAATCAATGTCTGCTCCATAAATCTCCAGGGTTGGAACACTTCTCATTTTGGTCATGTGCAAACACAACTTAAGCAATGCATAGAGAGCCTCGAATCTTTGAGAAACAAATCCCCCTCAATCACAGCTCAAGATGAAGAGAAGAAGGTGCTTGCAGAAACGGAGGAATGGCTAGAAAGGGAAAAGCTTATGTGGCGACAGCGTTCAAGAGAAATATGGTTGCAGGAGGGGGACCGGAACACGCGATTCTTTCACAGGAGGGCATCTAAAAGACGAGATAGAAATAAGGTAGAGAAATTGATGAATGCAGAAGGTGAATGGAAGTATGAATTTGCAGAGTTGCAGAGCATAGCCACAAGTTATTTCTCTTCCCTATTTTCATCTATCTCCCCTAATAATATTGAACAAGTGACCTCCTGTTTAAGCCCTCGGGTCTCTGAAGCTGATAATGCTTTCCTGCTCCAAATGTTCACGGAAACAGAGATCAAGAAGGCCTTGCATCAAATGCATCCTTCAAAGGCCCCCGGACCGGATGGGCTTTCACCGGGTTTTTTCCAACACTTTTGGGATGTGGTGAAGGACGATGTTGTACAGCCATGTCTAGAGTTCTTAAACCATAGAGGTGTGCTTCCGTCGGAGCCGAATTTCACCCATATTGTGCTCATCCCAAAGTGTAATGAACCCAGAACTATGGCTGACTTGCGGCCAATTAGCCTTTGTAATGTCATTTACAGGATTATAGCAAAGGTCATAGCCAACAGATTTAAGATGGTATTGCAGAGAGTAATTTCCCAAGAACAGAGTGCTTTCTTGCCAAATCGGTTGATTATTGATAATTTTATGATTGCTTATGAAATCCTCTAGTATATGAGAACTAGGAAGGCAAGGAAGCGGGGTTGGCAGGCTGTTAAGTTGGATATGAGCAAGGCTTTTGATCGGATCGAATGGCCATACTTAGAGCAAGTTATGCGAGCTGTTGGTTTTGCTGAAGGTTGGATCAGGATAATCATGAGCTGTGTCTCCTCAGTCAGATATGAGGTTTTGTTAAATGGTAGAGCAGCAGGGCAGATCACTCCTACTCGGGGCTTGAGGCAAGGCGATCCACTATCGCCTTACTTATTTATTTTATGTGCAGAAGGCCTCACCGCCATGCTAACTGAAGCTGTAAGTAGGAAAAGTTTGCATAGCATCCAGATATGTCGGCGTGCGCCTAAAATTTCCCACTTGTTCTTTGCTGATGATAGCTTCCTTTTCTTGCGTGCTACTGAGACTAAGGCAGCTAATTTAACGACTATTCTACGGAGTTATGAGTCTGCTTCTGGCCAAGTGATCAATCTGCAAAAATCCTCCATTACTTTTAGCAGCAACGTACAACAAAGTGCGTGTAGTCGTATCTCTCAAATCTTGGGCATGACAGAGGTTGAGCAACCAGGTAGATATCTCGGTTTCCCTACTTATATTGGTAGATCGAGAACAACTATTTTTGCAGGCCTAAAGAGCAAGTTTTGGGCACGGATAAGTGAGTGGAAAGAACAGCCGCTATTTAGAGCAGGGCGCGAAATTCTCATAAAATCAGTGTTACAGTCTCTCCCAACTTATGTGATGAATTTGTTTCTTCTGCCTGTAACTTTATGCACAGAGCTGGAGCATATCTTGAATAGATACTGGTGGGGAGGAGGGGAAGATGAACATAAGATCCATTGGATGCAATGGAGGAAGCTCACGACCTCGAAGAAAGCAGGAGGATTAGGCTTCCGAGCTATGCGTGAATTCAACCTGTCTATGCTCGAGAAGCAGGGCTGGAGGTTGTTGACATGTCCTGATTCCTTGGCAACGAGGTACATGAAGGCCAAATATTTTCCTCGTACGGATTTTTTACATGCAGAACTCAAATCTCCTTGTAGTGTTACGTGGAGGAGCATCTGGTATTGCTCTAACTTACTAAAGCAAGGCTGTAGGCGATTGATTGGTGATGGTCGCAGTACTGAGATTTGGAATGACCCATGGCTTCCAAGTAATGAGCAATTCTATGTCCAGTCGCCACGGCCTGAAGGTTGTACCCTTCGTTATGTAAGTGAGCTAATTGATGAAGAGACAAACTCATGGAGGAGGGATTTGGTTCTCGAGACCTTCAATGCACATGAAGCCCAACTGATATTAGCAATGCCGTTGAGTTGGTTACGATGGGAGGATAACTGGTTGTGGCATTTCACCAAACATGGCAGTTATACAGTATGATCTGGGTACCATAGAGCTATTAATATGGCTAGAAATCATGCTGGTCCATCTTCATCCTCCACAATCTTTGGCGGCAACCGATTGTGGTCCTTAGACATTCCAGAAAAAGTGCGATTGTTTATCTGGAGTGCCTACAAAAATGTTCTTCCCACAAAGGACAATCTTCACAAGAAGAGGGTAGAGGTGGATTTAGAGTGTCCGATGTGTGGTGTGGAGAAAGAATCTGTCTTTCACTCCCTTTTGTCATGCTCCCTTGCTCGGGCAGTGTGGTTAGGATGCCTTTTGAACCTTCACGTTTCTGAACTCCAGGTGAATGACTTTGCAAATTTTTTTGATAACACAGCTTGTATTTTGGGGAAAGAGCAACTTGAACTCTTCTGCTTGTTGTGTTGGAATTTATGGAATGGCCGGAATGATGCTCTATGGAACAGAAATGGCATTAATCCACAGCAAATCATTCAACGAACCTTGTCCTTTATGGCAGAATACAGGCAATCTGTATTATCAAGAGGCAGAGGAGCTGCAGTAGTGCAGAAGGCCACTGAAACTAGATGGCACCCACCAGACTTGGGCTTTATAAAGGTAAACGTAGATGGAGCAACATC